AATTAATATCATCTTGATACAAATCTGTAACTAATCTTATCATGTATACAGCAAATTCAAAATAAAAAAAAATAAAATAAAATAATTGATAAAATCTTGTGTGTTCATTATTTTTAACTCAAATTTCCTTATTATATTAATATATTTTAAGAGAATTACCTATTTTTGCAGATTTTGATAGGATATAAATGCTTATTTCGTAATGATAATAATGTCTAACTATATATATTTCAAATATTCTAAAATTTCTGGTCTTAGCAGATTTTGCTATAGCAAAATGCCTTACATTTACTCTTCTCAATCCTGATTCCTTTATATAAAAGCAACAAACTTATAATGTTCTACTGGTATTACCCATCTCTACAAATTTTAGATAATTGATGCTATGTCAACATTATTATTTCCTTGATTTTCTTGTTCTAAAAAATGATTTAATATATCATGAGGATCGTAATCCAAATCAGCAGAAGTAACAGCTTGAGCTGTCTTTACAGAAGGCCTAGAATTGTTTTCAGCTGTTAAGTCAATAATGACTTCAATCAATAGAGTTGTAGAATAATCAGCTGTTATATTGACTGATGAATTCATTTTATTAAATCTTATTTAGTCTCTCTCTTCACAATCTATTATATTACTAAGGGAAGTGTCATTTATCACCTGATTATTTTAGAATGGGGTTCCCTAACAAAGTATCATGTACATTGGTATACGTTTAATCAGTTGGAAATGAATGTAGCGAAAATGATTGGGACCCATAAAATTTTATCATGTAAGGGAGGGGAAAATATTTACTATTTACAAAAAATCAGGTGATAAATGACACTTCCCTAACCAATGCAATATTATATGCATCTCAAAGATCTTTCTCTGTCAACTCTTTGCCAAAAAAACTTAGTTTACGTTGAATATTAGTTATATAATATAACCTAATTTTGGCCATGCCCTCTAGTTTATTTAGACTCAAGCCTATTTGTTGTTTCTCTAAAATCTATTTTAATGTTAAAAAAGTCCTTTTGCATCCTGCTTGTATAGGATTAATTGAAAATATTCTTTGCGCAAGTTCAGCTAAATGCTGAGGTTGATTCTGAAAAGATCACTACCAAATTTTTGGAGTGTCCATACTAGTAACATAGAGAAGATCATATGGTAGCAATCGTGCCTCAAAGTGTCGCAACTATGCAACTAATTCTTTGCCTTCTGATTAGGTATGATCAAGATTTTGCCAAAGCTTGAGAGAAGTTAATGCAGCTTTATGAAATCCAATATTTTTTA